AATGTATACAATAGGGGAGGGGTATTTATAGCACGGGAACTACACGTACTCACTTCGATATGACGTAAATACCCCTCTCTCCTTCACCAATCTTTAACTAAGATTCTAGCAATCTCAGGGCATTTAGGTCGTTACATAAGGTAAAGTGTTGATAACTGCTAACTTTTGAGACTTTATGTGCTTAGAGTTTTTGACCTAGCTTGGAATAGCTCTGGCTCCTCGCTACAATACGTGGAGGAGCTGGTGAAATAAAAAGTAGCGGCTTTATCAGCTCCTAGTTTATTTAGAAAAGAGAAAAAAAAATATATAGCTCCTCACTACAATGCAAAGATGAGTAGTTACGGCTAGAGCCGCCCGGAGCTCTACCAAACAGGAGCCTTCATTTGACGCCATGGAAGCTCAATCATCTAGCTTCTGGGCTTGGCTTTGCTGCTCAAAGCTTCACCTCATTTGCTCAGGACTTTGGGGATCAACGCGAAGTGACATGCCCTTTGGCGGTTTAGCCTACAAAGTCGCACTTTGCAGGAATCTTCGTCCAACAACAAATTAAGTGTTGCCCCAGAAAGTCATAGGAAAACTTGTTTCTAGGTAGAGGCACTTTTTTGCTTCAATTTCATTGTTGAGATGCTTCTTTACTTGCGTGAGATTGGTGATTATTTGTCTAAGAATTGAATTATCTAGGCGATGGACACTTTCTCCTGAAAGATCTCTTTGCAATCTTTTTTTTTTTTTTTTTTGTATATCGGCGACTTCTGTGGGAGCTGTGCGATTTGCATGCTCTAGCTTCTTCTCTTTGTCTACGTGATCTAATGGTTGTACAATCATCAAGTTGAATGCATTGAATGGATCTTCGAGCTCTTGCAGCGTCACCGGCTTCGTTGTTATCGGATGATGTTTAAGGTAAAGAACCCTTCGAGGTCGTGGCCATGGGGGTTTACCCCTTTTGGAACCCTTCGGCCTTCACGGGGGCCGTCCTCAAGATGTCTTGACTTTCTACAATGAACCACGATGGCGCCAACTGTTATCGTACTCCCAGAAGTCTGGTAGACATGTTTGAGGTCGTGTAGTTGAGGTCGAGTGCGAAAAGTTGCAAAAGACTTAGCTGTTGTAGAAGAATTTTTCAGTTATTTCATTATATCGGCTTCTCATGTACATAAGCATGCTATTTATAGGCTGCGGCTCAACCACTCCAACTCACATTGACTGTTTTGCCCTCATATGACTACTAGATATATATCCTCTAAATATTCCTTAATGACCTAAGGCAAAATGGTATTCACACAATTCCTTCCCCCATATGACTACTACATATATCCTCTAAATATCCCTTAATGACCTAAGGCAAAATGGTATTCACACAATTCATTTATATACACTACTACATAATTGATTTTGCGTGGCGTTGCACTTTAATTAACGGAGGCGGCCACAAAATCCAACCACCTAGAAAAATTCCAGACGATTAACGGAGGCGGGCATTTTGATTTACGGAGGCAGTCACTTTTGCCCGTCTCGTAAAATCAATTTACGAAGGCAGGCATTTTAAGACAACCGCCTCCAAAAATAGTATATTTCCGAAGGCAGTCGTCTTAAGGAGCCCGCCTCCATAAATCTATTTTTGGAGGCGGGCACTCTATAAGGCCTGCCTCCAAAAATAGTGCCCCAGCTCGCAGCTCACAAAAAGCCCATCTCTGCTTTTCTACCGGGCTCATATATAAGCAGCATTTGTTAACCCTAGCCTCACATCTATCATCGAGCGCCCCCTCTCCCTTCAGCCCGACGGCGCCCCCTCTCCCTCCGTAAGCCCGACGTCGGAGCACCCTCTCCCTCCCACGCGCCTCTCCCTCCGAGCCCGACAGCGCAGGCTCTCCTTCCCGAGCACGGCTGCGCACCCTCTCCCTCTCCCTCTCCCTCGAGGAGGTCGGATCCGGCCGATGGCAGCGCAGGGAGGCTAGATCCGGCCGGTGGCGGCGCAAGGAGGCAAATCCGGCACAAGCTCCTCCTCTCCACCACGATGGGTCTCCTCCCCGGCGGCGCCCCTGGCCGACGAAGCATGGCGCCCCGGGCCGGCGGCGGCGGTGGGACGCGCGGTGGCGGTGGAGGCCGGGACGGTGGGGAGGCAGAGGCGGAGCACCTCTAGCACCGTCGGATCCGACGAGAAGCTCGATCCAAGCGGCCGCGCCCAGATCCAGGCGGCTCTAAGCTCCCTTTGAGCGGATCCAGGCAGCTGGCGATCAGATCTAGTGCAGGCGGTTGGATCTAGCTCGAAGCGCGGCGGAGCGGGCGTGACGACGGCGGGCTCGGAGCACGGTAGCCCTGGATGGGCTCGCGTCTGGGCTCATCTTTTTTTTTAATTTTTTAATTGATTAACTGAGGGGGCAAAATAACCACCTCGGTTAATAAGCATTAACCGTGACCTTTGATTGGAGGTGGTTTCCTTGCCCGCCTCCATTTTTAACGCCTCAAAAAAGATTTTTGTACTAGTGATAATTCCACCTTCGAGGCTTTGACAAAGTCCTTAGTCCTTGAAGGACCGTTTGACAATGCCAGTGTAACCTTCATGTGCAACCTTCGCCAATAACTTTGACACCGGCATCTTCACTTGGATCCACAAAAAATATCAAAGGTGACTAGGAAAGACTTTATTCGAAAGCTTGCGTTACATGAGATCTTGAAGGTTCCTAGACAATCCATTTTTTTTTTAGAATTACACAGTATAACGTAGATGCACGCACACTCACCCCTATGAATACACGTACGCAAACCCTATCTTATGAGCACCTCTGAAGGACTGAGCCTGATCACGAGATTCACGAAGTCACCATAAGCGTCTCGCTATTAATGGGGACGTCGTTTACCACTGAAAGCATAGCGCCGTTAAATCCTAGAATAAATCTAGAAAAATACGAACACCCGTGCCTCCATTTCATGAAGGAAAGCAAGGATTTCAATAGGAGAGGAAAACTTCATTCCTCCATTCCAAACACTATGTGATGTAAGCAAAACATAAGAATTAGATTCCTATGAAATTCTTCAAATCCAAACAAGCCCTAGTATCTCCGAGAGTCTTTCTAAATTTAATCTCTAACTCATCATTTAAAGAATCATTGAGTAAAATCATTTTTATATCTTTATACCCTCCAACTTTTCTATATCTTGTATGTGATCCTCGCTCTCCATCTTAGATAATCTCGAAGAGCTTTTCTAAACGTACTCAACATAGCGCCGATAAATTTTGAAATAAATTCAGAAAAATACGAGCAACCGTGCCAAGTCGAGGAATTAAACCCGGATAGACCGGTTCCACCACAGATAACTCAACCAGCTGATCTAGGATCTTCGTAACAAACAATAAAGGTTAGGTAGTTTTAATGGCCGAAGGCGGGGGACTCAATGTCTGGGCTCCATGATGGCTTCTCGCTAAAGTGGGCACCTAGAATTAGCAACCTGCCTTCTACTGTTAGGAATTCTTTTGCACAAGACGGGTTTTGTCGGCCTACCGATCGGCTGGCATCAGAGGTTGGTCAGCTGAGCATCAGATAGATATTTGTCTGCAGAGTATGGTCTCACCATTCATGCACCGACAATGTGCTGTCATGTTCTGAAAGAAACGAATTCACCACCACCTGCACCTTTTAATCAGAAGGGTTCATGCACCTTTTAATCAGAAGGGTTAATAAAGCTGATACAATCCATCATCACCTGCAAGTTTACTCTTGATGCCACACAATGCCTAGCCGGTAGGCAGTACCAGTAGCAGTAGATACTCCAGGCAGATCACAGGCAAGTCCGAAGACTGCCAATCTGCCCTGTGCACCTTCACTGCACCCACATACTAGTAAAGAGTACCAAACCAATGAATGGACAGATATATCAAACTATGCCAAGCAATTCGGTGAAGCGAGAAATGAGAAGGGGGACACCGTCATAATACAGCATGATGCACAAAGAAACTTATCCTGTAGAGCAAAATATACGAGCACTTGTATTGCATGACACCATGGAGATTGCCCTCTGCTAGACACGACTTTGGCATGGTTGGTCCCGCCATGGAAGCTGAAGCTGAACGAAAGCGGAAGCTACCACTTCACAACAACAGATGAATGGTCAGCAGCTCCGACTCAAAAACGAAGGGGGCTCTGTTTATTGACCGCCACTTCAAGGAATAATTTATTTTCCATCAAACATCACGGTAATAAACATCTAAATTAGCACCCAAACCCTAAATACAATGATGGTACACACAAAACATTCACATGTATTTGTCTTATGCCAAGTGATGGCCCCCTATTCCTTATACCCAGTAAATGTCAGGGAAAATGTACAGCCTGCTCCACTAGCCACATTAAACCACTCCCAGTTAGAAAATATCCTGTACCAACCTGAAATACACAAAACACATCAGTTACCACAAGGTTTCATCAGTTGGACTAGCAAAGAAACTACATGCACTCACATTGATTCATGCTAAACAATCAAGCAGACATTTTGAATCGACAAATTTCACATAGGCAGTGTTTTTAAGGCATCGCCTAGGTGACAAGGCACTCGCGGAGAACAAGGCGTCCCCGACACCTAGCCAAAAGCAGTGAGAGCCGAGGGGTTTGGAGAGCAGAACAGAAGAAATCGATAGGGAACCAACCAGAAAGGCCATGGAGCCACCTGGGTCATCTGCGGCAGCAGCAGCTGATCCAGAAGGGGGCCACAATAGAGATCGGTCTGTTGGAGAAGAATAGTGAGGGGAAGCAGTGAGAAGCAGGAGAGGAGCGGAGGCCAGGCTGAGTGCGCGTGAGCAAGAGCAGTGTGAAGGATATGAGTAACAAGCAAGTTATCTAGAGATGAAACCCTACACAATGCCACCAAGGATATAAATAGTATTAACAATGCCACCAAGGATATAAATAGTATTAACATAAGTGTAGGCTATGATCATTCGGTAGATTGTTGATCAGATCCTAGCAGTTTTTGTTTGCTTCTTTTTATCCTGCTCAACTTCACTTTTATTTCATGGGGCATTGGAAATCATCTCCAATGCAGTATTCAGCATGTTCAATTACCCGTCGGCTACTTGAATCACAAACTGCAATCTAGTTCATAAAACATAGCAACTAATCCATCACATAAAGAGGCTGATCGTCTATCCTTACCATTAGATGAACTCTGTGCAGATCCCACTTGGATCATATAGAACACTTATCTTACCAGGTTTAATGCAACAAAGCATCCACACTGGTGTCTCTTTGTATCAACCACAATAACCTGATAGCCCTCCACAGTAAAAATCAAGATTCTGGAAGCCAATTTTGCCAGATTAGTAGAAAATTCAGCTATCCCAGTGTGATGTCCAAACTACTCTGAATCAGTATCTAATGACAAACACAGACGAGGCCTAACAGACCGCGGTTGGCGAGGATGAGAAAATATATTTTCAATCCTTCTTGGATTTAGATTAGATCCATTACATCTGTTCATGCTTGGGAGAGCAGAAGCTGCAATTGAGAACAAAAATGTTACAACAATAACATGTATAGTATGCAGATAGCTGTCGTTGAGAACACAGCAGCAATAAGTCCAGATTCATTAAACCAAATTTGTAGTATCAAACTATGAATTGAACCAAATTCATTAAACCAAATTCATAGTTTGATACTACAAATTTGGTTTAATGAATCTGGACTCACATTTGAGCAATTGAGCTAGATAGTTCTTTTTTATTCTAGTAATTAATAAATCATCAAAACTGTTTTCTATGCAAGCATAGAATCCATAAGGCTCTGCAACCAACAGATATTACAGGACCACAAGCTAATACAAGTTGATAAGAAAAGGAAAACCTTCAGAAATTAGGTTTTGATTAAACTCAGTTCACGGTCATAGGTATGCTGTATGCATATAGACATCATTTTGACAGTTTTGAGTACAAGGGGATAAGTTGAGCCACTCAGCATCAAGTGTCATCTATTACCCAGAAGTAATCAAAGGCAGATTCTAAAAGTTGCTAAAATTCTACTCATTCATTTTATTGACTAGAGAATTAAATAGTTTATGGGGATCTATTTTAAGATATCAGACTTTGCACATTTTCTATGGAAAAAAAAGTATGACCTAAGATGCCTGCCTTCAAAAGTTAACCTTGATGATCCTGGAAATGGTTGACAGGCTACCAAAAAGAAAAGGAAGTGTAGCAAACCGCTATCTTAGAAGCAAAATGATCACAAAAGAGAAGAATTAAATTCATAAAAGGGAGACAAACCAGCATCAAGTAAAGGTTCGACTCCTGCCTCTTTCGATGGAACTTTTGGCTGTGATTTTAGACCATCAACACTTGTAGACTCTTCATTACCCCCTCCACCGGCCGCAAGCGTAAGAGATATCCTCCAATCATCAGGGTGGACTCCATTTGGAGTATTAGCACGCTCACTTAGTTCTTCCTGAAGGGGAACAGTGGAAGGTTGACTTGGAAGAAAAATTTGCAAAGATGGATCATCGCCTGCTAAAGCCAATGGGTTATCAACCAAGCTTCCATGCACATCATTACTGTTTCGGCAAATTGAAACATCGTGAGCTGCAGAGGGATCCTCTATGCCAACATTACAGTCAAGTGAGTAGTCTTCTGGTGCAATATTAAAGGAATTATGTGGACCAACAAAAGGATTGCCAACATCAGTATCAGTCCCAAAAAACTGGAACCCTTGCTCTGGTTGTGGATAAGAATGCATTTGCCAGTTATTTATTTCAAAATCACCAGTATTGTTGCTCAATAAACCAAGGCCACTTGTACCAATGCCAGCATCCTCCTGGTACCTTTCAGGATATCCAGTTCCGGGAGCATCAGTGACGAAAGGAAAACTGTCACCATTTGTAGGAGTATTTGCATAGACAGGTGGCGGGCGAACAATCGGGTCATTTTCTTCATCAGAATCACTAAGAACAATGACATCTGCAGCATTATGTTGTGGCTGTTGTTGTCTATCCTCTGTATTGTCTGTCTGACCAAAGTTATGTGCAAAACTGTCAAACTCTTGGTTCAATGCTATATCAAATTGAATACCACCCCCTTCTTGGTTCACACTTGCATCTTCGCCATCTCGGTAACTCCCAGTGGGGCTACTGATAATAGGCATGTTTGGTGTTGAGAACCCATTGATGTTTTGGATGTGATGTCTAACTACAGGTTTTTTATCATCTGCTTTACTGCTAACCTGCCATGATCCATTAGGGTTTTTTTTAATTTTCAAAGTTCTATGTCCATCAGAAGTACCCTCTCTCTTGAACTCATTAACACTTGTGACACCAGGGTTTGTATCTTCCTTTGAGTCACAAAGAGTACCATCAGGGATATGCCACTGAGATAGATATCTGGTAGCGGCATCACCCTTCACACGCCATGACCCATCAGGTTTAACATCAAGCTCATTAACATCTTCACTGCAATTGTGCAACTACATCCAAAATGAAAACAGAAATCAACTCACATAACAAATTCTAGCATAAGGCATAAAATGTGAGACAAAAACCTACCAAAGAAGTAATCCGATTGAAATAAGCATCGATCATCAAGTTCTCGAGAGAGTAATTCTTTAAACATATTGGGCATTGCCACTGCACAAAAGTAAGAACAGTCAATCAGGAAGGTAGGATACAAAATATGAAACCATGTAAAATGAAAAACATGATATAAATAAATCAAGTGTGGCAGAGGAAAAGAGCACCTATATAGGGTAAAGATGGTTCCTCATCCATAGTCCCTATACCCCCCATGGACTACTGTCCAAGGGTAGCCTAGTTTGGCTAACCTTGCATGCATCTCAAGCATGGCGTGATCATGCCCATAAAATTATTAACAGAACATTTTTTTTCTATCTCCACTGTATTTCCTACTCGAAAACAATAATAGAAAAATGGCATTCTTGGGTATTCATGATCATTGATCAAGTGTATTGAACCAGTCCATACTCTTATTGCGCAGGCAGAAATTAGGCCTGGCCTGGGCCAAAGCCCAACTACAACAGATGTTCAAAACAGGCCTAGTTACAATATATATTTGAATGTGCTTCTGCAAGCACAAATTCTGACCTTGCGTGAGCGTTGATTCAATTCCACAAAAGTTTCAAGATCAAAACAGCCCATGTGAACACAAGGCTTGAACCTTCCAGCAATCCTCATTCTGGATCCACTATTCTGAAAAATAAAAATACATTAGATACAATTCCAATTGCAAATTGCACCGGAGCGGCTTAGCTCAACATGCCAGCTATAGCCAACCAGAAAACATATGCTTTAAAGACCTACTATAATGATTATATTTGCTCGAGTAAATACATAACAGTTAGCAACTCTCCTAATACTACTAAGCTAGGTAGGCACAGAACCACCTGAGAGAGTAAAAGTGGTTTGTTACTACCTATACCTATATGAAGAAAAAAATTGAAAAAGGTAAATGGTACTGACATATATGTAACAAAGCCAAACAAAAAAAAAGTCATAAAAAACATATATATGCAGAACAACACTCACAGGGCAACGAAGGTTGACCGTAACAGATTCAGTAACCACTTCCAGATCGCTATCACTATCAGCATTGTCTGTAGCACCTCCACCTCCAAGACAGCGACGGACACGAGCAAGAGCATCCTCAAAAGACTCCCCTTCACCTTCCTTTGGGATCAAGTTTAATACCTGGACATCAACAATAGTGTCAAGGAGAAAGAGAAGAGTAAATGGAGCACAGCTCGGTGAATAATGCACTAAATATGTGAATAGAATTAGTAGTTTTTCCTTTCAAGGATAATTCTTTTTTTCTGAAACATAACAGGAAATTTAAAAAAAAAAGTGGTAGCTTTAACAAGAATTGTCAACACAAAATATTGCTGTCTAGATGATATTTAACATGAAACAAGCTAAAAGTTGGCAATACATTCTTTATACACCATTTACAGAACAGGAAATCATGTGATCCTATAGTCATTTCAACTACATGATATGTAGAAAGCCAAAGGAATAAAACCTGAGGAACAGTCCTCCTCCTAACAATTCGAACTCCAAAGCAAAAGGTTCGGGCATCAACTCTTGATAAGCTAATTTTATTGATCCCTTCTCTACTGCATGTGGTTACCTGCAAAAACATACAAGAATGACAAATTTAATCCATGAACAGAACTTGAAAAAAGAATTTCAGAGTAATACAACATTGCGATCAAATTATCATATCAACTACAAAACTGAAACTAGGTCTCCATATGCTAGAAATGTGCACCCAATTGCTTTCTATCTCTGAATGTACAGATAGAAGAGTATAACTTGAATCTTGCCTCATAGCATGTTTCATATCAGCACTAGAAATCTCTTGATAAAACCTGACAATGGCTATTGCATCATGGACTTGCCTCAAATCAACTACAGGGTTATGTGCTAATGTGTTATTCAATTTTTTGGGGGAAATGGTCTATTAATATAATGCCATTCTGTATGCTCTTGCTCATGGTTTATTTCATATTATTTTTTATGTTATTTTGCTTTTTTCCAATGGCATTCTTTAGCCTTACAATCCTACTACTCCTATGATGCAGATTGCAGGCTAGCATCATTGAATATAAACTTGTGTGTTCAGCCAATTTAAGGCAAGACGCTTTCTGCCAAAAAAGAGAGAATAGTATCCATGGATCCTCACATACACCACATCACAAGAATGACATGATACATGCCACAATCCAGCTCGATGTAGAAGTAAACCATGCGCTTCACTAGCTAACTATAAACATTGAGTAAAAAAGCCAGCCAATGGGAAACAAAAAACCAGTACCATATTTGTAAATGGTTTGGCCAAAATGTGTGCATCTGAACCAGGTGATGGCCAGCAAGCACCTTCACAAACAAAGTATGAGCATGTGCTCCAGTATCTTAGCCAGTAGTTTAATATAGCATTCCCCTTTCAAGTTTTCAGGCTCACATAACACTATTTCCAAGATTATGCCATGAATCAAGAACATGCAACATTTTATAAAAAGGCGGGGGGGTTGGAGGAGGGGGTGTAAAAGGCCATTTTTCAACCCCCCATAACTCCTGGCTTCAGGAAAGCAGAAGAAAATCAAGTGGATCCTGTATCATGCCAAAACATATGCTCTTAAGAATCTCAAGAGGACTGTCCCACATGTACAAAAAAAATGTCAAATTGCTAATGTGCTCAGATCTTGTTTAGAGTGTCATATAGTGATAAAGAATGCTACTAACTTCAGTCATATATAGTTGACATTACAGACAAAAAAACAAGGAACAATCGAGCTTGGTTTCCCTGTCTGAGCATCAAGTACAAATGACTGGAGGGAGTATAAACCATAAGAGTAACCTCAAGTGAATGGAGGGAGTATAAGCCACAAGAGTGAAGACCTCAAAACAAGCTTAATGCAGACATACTTAATGTTACTAACCCCTTCATATACTTCACACAAAACCAGATGAAAAACAAGCCTGTACTGTGTTCTAATGGAGTTCATTTAAAAGGTACAACTGACCCAAAAGAACATGCCCAAAAGATAATGGAAACGCTTGTTAGACCCCCCACCCAAAAAAAAAACACCACCACCACCACCAAATGAAATAAAGGGGTAGTACCAAATGTCCGTCCAACCAGCATCCAGATCCTACCAGCGGGACAAAGTAAGAATAAACTCACCAGTGGTCCATCATCCCGTCCATTTATCCCTAGTAACTGAGAACCGGGCCTGGTCATTACTCGTACAGGAATACCTGAACAAACAGAACTAAATATCACACTGGCAATCACTTAATTTCACAAAAATATCAATGTAAATTAAACCTACATGGCTCAGTATACAACATATAAGCCAAGATTTGAGCCCAAATGCATTTTAATAAATCCAAGTTATACAATAAAATTTTATGCATTACCATTCACTTGCAATTCTGCATATTGAGGCCATTGCATCCTGAACTGGACTTTGTCATTTATAAGAATGCACCAAACCTGTCCACAAACCAACAACACAATCGGTAGTTAACAGGACTGTGCAATAGAACCAGTCGCTTTTTCTTTGTTGGATAGGACATGAGAAATCTTAATACATCAAATCAAGACCTTTTTGACAGAAGCTCTCAATGTGCAATACTCAAGTCTCTATTGCACACACAATTTGCAAATGATTTACGTAGATAACTCATAAGTCGGGTAGACATGAGAAATCAAAGATATTTGATGTTAGAGAAAGGTCATAATCATACATAGCTATTTTCCATCAGCGTACTATGCATGAACACTATGTTAAAGAGGTTGATTCAATGACAAAGTTCAGACACTCCGAGTGACCTAATCTCACATACACCAATGTTTTCTTCCTCGGTGCTTTAAGGTTTATTTATGGCATAGCATAATCACCAATGTACTATGCGTGAACACTATGTTAAAGAAAGAACATAATCATCCACAGCTAAGATTTATTTATGGCATAGCAGCATCATGTCATTAATAAAGTGTGCAAGATTTTTATCAGGATTGAGGCAAATGAAACTTAGGTTGTGGAGGAGAGAGCAAACCTGGAGATCATATTCTGGTCTCTGGACTGTTTCTCTATCTGCTCGGGAAAGTTGGAAGGTCTTCTCCACAATTTGAGGTACACTTGCTCTAGAGATATGAAGGTTTCACAAGGAAACATTTATGCATCAGCAACACAGTAACATCAATGAAGATAGTATACAAACTAAAATAGCAGAATAGTTTAAGTCTACTCAAATGGCATGCCATTATCTAGCATATATGGGCCAAAAGCACAACTATGGACCACCTTATCATAGAAATGGCCACATATATCATACGTTGGATGCTGTGTCAGACTGATAATGCATCTTTTAAGAACAGACCAATGAACATTGTACGGCACTACATGCAAATGAGTACTAGTGTTATACATTCATATCAATGAGCAAAAGCTTGTATTAGCAATCAACAAGACTGCGAGGATTATCATGTCAAATCTAACAGAGGAATTTAATTACTAACCAAAGATCCTGAACTGAAGTATATATGACTGTTGTTGAAGATATTAGTGTTTGTTGATTGGGTAACAAGGATATACTTATGTATAGCACAGCATCAATGGCATAATATAGATATCCATATGGCTAAAATAATAATTCCTGACAACAATGGAGCGTCAATTTCCCCTCAAACCTAAAATTGACATTAACTATGACACGTGTAATGTACTTGTATTGACAATTCCCCCCAAAAAAAGGAACAATTAAAGAAATGCACATTAGGTAAGGGAATGATTATTGTTGTACGATAAACTATTGCCACCACAACAAGTTCCATTATAGACCCACCCATCATTTCCAACACCAGATGACATAAATTTCACAGGTAGTAATGGATTTCCTGTAGTCACCCAAAACCTGCAAATTCGAAGGGTGGAATTAAGCAATGAGAACAAGAATTGCAGACAATAAGAAATTCTAAATAAAGTTATTCAAGTGCAATGCCAACTTCAGAGCACCTATACAGATTTACAAGTCTCATCAGCGGCTTTTGTTCATAATACATTCGAGGATCTAACCAAAAGGCATAGTAACTTCAATTGCATAGAAAACTAGAAACATCAAGCATTTGTCTTCAATAAGTAGGCTATCTTTACGTGTTATATTTGTTGCAAAAGGAAATAAACCATCAGCATGTTCTAGCCAAGCAAAGAGCAGAAAGAGCTTAGGCCTTAAAGGCACACTATTAACTCAGGCAAAGACAACAAAGAGTGTCGCTTAACCTACAGAGTCATCATACAAGTATCCAGCTTGAAAAATCAAAGAATGGGTGTAACAGTTCACATAAATACATACAACCAAGCAACCAGTAGCATGGGCTGTTAAACCAGAGGTTATGGGATCAATTACCAGTTTACCAGATCAATCAAGTGTAGGAATTGGTAGAACAAGGAAGGGGGGGGGGGGGGTCTCTAATAAACCCTGGGTGAGCGAAAAAAGGTCACACTCTAAAAAAGTAAACCATACAGGAAAGGAAAACCATAGCACAGTTCATTCACAACATTTTAGCTATAGCAGGACATGCCAAAAGCCACTCTTGAAAAAGAAAAAAAAAAGTGAAACAAAGAAAGCCAAACAGATTGTAGCAGAACATACGGGTCTGCCCGGCTCAGTCGGCACAATTCACAATAAAAATGAGGTGGAATATCAGGGCCAGCACCCTCCGTGGGCTTATCTGGAATGAGTACGCAGGTAATATGCTGCCAAACCTGGCATTTGCCATCTTCGCACTGCAGGAAACAAGATGCAAGAAAAAAGATTAACAAGGCGCATGACACCAAAACAAACAGGTTGCAGTTAAGATAAATTGTTTCACGTCCTATGTGCTTTTCAAATGAAAACAAAATACATGCACATATATAAAAGGGTAAGATACCTTGATCATATTGTCATTTAGCATTGTGCTATTGCAAAGGCAGCGGACCTTAGCCTCTACATGGTAGAAGTCAGAAGATTCCTCTTTGGGCCTGAAATGATTGAAATCTGATCGACTGTGGCTCCTGGAGGGAATTAAGTCAACAACTTCATCTGACATAGTCAACTCTCTGGTATGTATTCTTGTACTGAAAATTGAGAAACAGATGGAATGAAACCTGAATGTGTCATCAACAACTTTTGCCACCGCCTCCCTTGTGGGAGCATTTCTCCTTCCCCATCCATGATGGCGTTGACCTGCAATAAGCAAATTGAGCTTAAGAGCCAGATTTCATGGAAAGACCAAACTTAGTGATTCAGAAGAAGAAAATGCGAACTAGCTGATGCTCTAAAACGGAAGAGATTTTTTATTGACCAATCATCAGCTCAAGGACAAATAAAGAAATGACCCATATTATTAAACTACAATGGCACAGATTTGCATAACAAACCTACTGGCTTGAGCACAACTGAAAAGTAATATTGAACCATAAAAAATGCAGCAGTTAAAGACAGCAATATAGGGGGGGGAGCAAATATGCAGCAAAGACCGCCATACCTTGCTCGTCTGATAATATTGCCAATACCCTGTCAACAAGGTCCTGTGATCAACGATTATGAAAAATGGATCAGATACCATCAAGTGCAAAGCTGAGGCAAGTATAGTGAAGATGAGATTCTGAATGTGTTCATTCAAGGAGAAAAAAGAAGAAGATGGTTCTGATTTCTGAAATTGCAATACTGAATTGAAGCTTGTCCTACAAACCCATGGTTACTGCCAAAGCGAGTTATGCACAGCACTACAGCAGACAGACCCAACAATGATGTAATGCCAGATGGCTAGTTCGCCCTGGACACTCATATGCCATGCTTCCATTCAGTTGTAATGTAATCATACACATCCAGGAGTAGAAACAAAGTGCTCGAAAGCCAAAATAAGAGAGCAAAACAATTGCTGACCTGCTTCTTTCCTTGCTTCGGTAACCCCAGCTGATTTAAGATATCCTTGAGCTCCTTTATTCTAAAATACGCAAGTTTATCCTATGACAAACAAGGAAAGAATCAACGTTTGAGATCTTCAAGAGCGACCATTACATGTTGCTGCGCACGTGAAGTACACCGCCACACTTGCCACGTTTGATCCATGGACCAGAAAAAACAGAACTACCAACTCTAGAACGATTTATAAAGAGCGAATCTTGTCGGTTAGCGATGCGCTAGCTAGGAGCAGCTTAAATGAGTGCTGCGTCATGCAACGGAAGGATCCAGCACTAGCCTATCAATCAATACAACACATGAGAGGTTGATTCAGCTGCTAAGACAGCACACAACACCTGCCCAACAACACACACAGCTCTATCCAAAACTCGGGGCTGGACTACATCGGGCAGCATGCCCGGACTAAGAAGCCGAAGCGATTCCACATTTGGAAAGAAGGCACTGGTGCCAGCCAGCTCTGGAAAAAAAAAACTAGGGTCGGAGCTCTCAGCCAGTCCATCCATCCATCTAAACCTCGGCGCGGAATTAACCGCCGGGCGGCAGCGGGGCGGTGGCAGGGGCGGGAATCCCACGGGCCCAGCTGAATCCGCCGGGAAATTCGAGGGGAATCGGCGGAGATCGGGTGGCGAATTGGGCGCAGGCGGGCGTATACCTTACAGGTGGAAGCGAGGTCTGACATGGCTGGCGCCCGCGCGAGGAAACCCCCGGAAGCGCACGGGCATGGGGAGGGGCCGATCGGGGCCCCCGGCGCCGGCGAGGAGATCCGGCGATCGGGGCGCCGAATTGGGGACGTCGGCGGCCGCGCGCGGGGGCTTCTGCTGCTGCGGCGGCGGCTGCTCCCTCGCGTGGCGTCTCTGTGGCCTCCGCCGTTTGCGTCGACGACGGCTGCCTGGACGGGGGGCGGGGTTTTCCTCTCTCTACCCCCCTCTCTCCCTCTCTCCTCCACCTCTTGGCTCGCGTCGCGTCGCGCGTGCTTGTGGGACGGGTTCGTCGAGAAGGGGGAGGAGAGGGACTAGAGAGTGGGCGGTTTCTCTCTCCTATTCAGCCGCCGCGGCGGACGTATCGGCCGCTATCAAATCCGGTTTTTTTCGGGGCCGTACGAGTCCGCGACCCACCCACCCACCCGGCGGCGGTCGTGCCGTGCCCTGCCCGCCCGCCTCCGCCTTCGCTTCACTCCCTCTACGGCCACCCGCGTGGACCCCACCCGCCCTGTGCATCACTCGTGGCGTCACCGTGGACCACCCGGTCCAAGATGGTCGGGCTGACATCGAATAAACACACGGCTTTTGGTAGGCAGCCCGTTTGGTTGAGCCATGAAAAAACTGCTACGAGCTGCCAGCCGTGGCTATGAAAAAGTGAGTTTGAGAAAAAAACTACTGTGGGCCCCGTTCGCGTGTCCTTAAATCCGACTTGATCTGCTTCTTTTTTCATCTGAAACAGTGTTTTCCTCTCACAAATTCCTCCAGCATTCATCCAAATCATCAAAATTCCTCTAGAATTCCTCCAAGCGAACAGACCCGAAAAAGCTAAAAACCGTTTAGTTGAAAGTGTCATAGAGAAGCTATTGTGACCCGTGAACCGTGTCAAATGCCTATAATGCTCTTGAATGCCTGATTATATGCAATTCGATCATAAAGCATCGTGCTGTTCACCAATTCACATATAAATAGCCATTTAAGAAAATGAAAATTAAAATTTTCAAGTTATGTATCCACCATTAACATCAGGTCCACATAAATAGGATGGTAGAAATTACAAAATATATAATCATGTCCTCCGTCGACATAGTTATCTCCCTCTCGCACTAACCAAAGCATCCGCTATCCAATTGTGAATGGTATTCATGTATCCTCATTCTCTCCATCCGGACTCCATCTCCTTATGCTTGTGTCACAGAGTTGCTAGGATCTGCTAGGTACTCATCATCAACATCACATCTATCGAACTCCCTATCATGCAAATTGTTACCACAAATGAAGTTATGCAACGTCATACATGCAAGAAAGATATGCTTATGAGTACGAGTATAGAAACTTAGGATTTCTTTCGTCATACGCCACTTTTCCTCCAAGATGCCGAAAGGTCACTCAATAACATAAGTGTATGGAGTGCTCATATAGGTTAAACAATATTCCCTCAATTCTAAATTATGAGGCTGGCTTTTCTATACATTATGTATCTAGAAAAGTCAAAACGTTTTATTATTTAGAACGGATGGAGTATTATCTATCAGACTTGCTCTTTTTCCTTTTTACTGAGACATCCAGAGCGGTTGGTTTGCCTCCATGGGGCCATGAGCTTTAAGATGGTCACGCTGCTGATGGAGGAGGTGGAGACCAACGGCGGGGGATGGAGTACTAGATCGATGCTTTGAAGAGGGCCACGGCGATCATCACGACATCCACCTGCACCAACACCGCGGGAGAGGGGGCCAAGCGCTAGGGCTTGAAGCTCGGCCGCCGCTGAATTCAAGTATTGTGAACAAAATCATATGGAAAGAGGCAAGCCAGGGCCAAACACCTCCTTAAGTTGCAATTTCCCCTTAACATCCCCTCTAATTATTACACCAATTAAGATATTTATTAAGTAAATTAGCCTTTTGTAGTGTAAAACATACATATATTCAAATAATAAAATAGTATAAGTATTGTTATTTTCGCTAAAGTAGAGATTATGCGTGCATACAATTTTTTTTTTGTTGACAATGCCCCTCTCTCCCTGTCAAATTGCTAGCTTTGCCTCTGATTGTGAGGTTGATTTGGTTAGGGTGAAGTTGATGTGATCGCCTAGGACTCGATCTGGACAATTAATAAAGTCAATCAACTGGCCATTAGGAGGGCGACAAAATAAATGTACCAATATAGGAGCAAATGTCAAATGTTGAGATTTAGAAAAAAAAAATTGCCCATAAGAAATTTAGAAATATTAATATAAGAATCTATAAGATTAAATAAATTATATAAAAATGAAGGTAAGAAATTAAGAGCGCAAGAGTACAGTTAGTGATGAATGTGTTGAGAATTATTATTTAGTGCTTAATTAGGGATTATTCCAAGGAATGTCTTTTCACCCCTCTCGGTAACCGTCCACATGGGTCATGTATATATGTACACACTGTTGACTATGAATACGATACAGAATCATTTGCATTGATCGATCTCTCTATTTTCTAACACGCACGTGGATGAAAGAAGCACCATCAGCATTCTGCATGAGAAAGCCACAAAGCGCCTTCATTGATCAAGAAAACAAGAAAACGAAGGCCAACAGCAACATGGATCCGATTATCTCCATCCAAAAGCAACACAGAACTGTAAGGTGCCATGAAATTTTCATAAATCTATGAAGTTCTTATCTTTTGGACAGCATCGGACGATGATGACTGTGTTCCTCGGCCATCGCATGCTCATCTGTCGCATCTTGTATGATCTTGCTCATGAACGACGGTTGCAACCGGATGTTTGCCTGACCACGCCCACGCTCAGAACGAGGCGGTGGCCCTACCCACGTCTGGACCGACGACGGCAGCGGTTACTTCTCCTTTGACGAGGATGAGGATGGCACCCGTGGCAGATGGCCCTCACGGTCGGGCACGACGTGCCTTGCTCCCGTGCCCACTCCAGCGGCCTCGTGCCGCGGCCAACACCCCGCGCGGCCGGCATGCCTCCCGGCATCTAGTGGCTCCGCACGGTCCGCGCCAGCGGCCTCGCGCGGCCCGCGGCCCGCGGCTGGCTGCCCCGGCACCCGGTGCCCACGTCCAGGTCCTTCCCGCGAAGGCGGCTGCGACAGGCTCCCATGCTTGTGGCCCCGCGCCGGTGGCAGCCGTCTCCGCGCGGCTTCCCCGCGCCTGCGCCTCTAGAGCATCGGCCGCCTGCGGCTAGGACCATGGCGACTGGTAGCCCCTCCCAAGCCCGCGGAGACGGCCCCGCGCCTGCGACTCGCGCACGGCAGCCGATGGCTCCTGCACCTGTGGTCGGGGAGCTCGCAGTGGCCGGGCCCTCGCGGCCGAGTCGTCACGGCAATCCTTGCCTTCGCTCGTTGACGGCTACTGGTGGAGGCGAGGCCGCTGCAGGCTGCAGCTACGGCGGCGGCTGACGGCGTCCTCACGGCCTCGGGGCCGTACGACGCTTTTCTCCCGATGGAGAAACCGTACGTGAGGATAATGTTATGCAGATATGCACATAAAGTCCTTATTACATAATACATTCATGACTTATGTTTTAGCACTTAAATTTTAACATAAGCATATATCTACAGTACATTGTATTTATACCTTATATGAATGCTCTGTTTAGATTTCGGATCTAAATAAATTATGATGCAAAATATTTACTTGGGTAAATAGATGATTTTTAAGACCTACGAGTCATTAGAAATTGCATCGTGATAATATTGCAAATAAATTTACTATTGTCATGTTTAGATATGTTTTCTGTGTCTTTGATTTTCTGTTTTAGTTATGGACTCTAACAATATTAGTATATGTAGAGCTTTTACTCCTATACTTTGTTTGCTTTTAAGACCAGAAAATTGTTCATGTCTAAACATATATAGTTTGTTGGTTTTGTTGTTTGACAATTAATTTTAATTGCAACAAAATCGGATCCTATTAATTAATTGATAGTTAATTAACGATGGATAAATTTAGGCTCATATGAGCCTAATTCGAAAAATAAAATGGCAGCTAAACTATTTTTGCTAGTGAGGCTAACATAGGAAGTGGATTTTGCTTTGATCTTACAGGATCTTGCATAGTTATGCCACTAGTCAACTATAGCACTATGTGCTTAGTAAGTTTTCTGTTTTAGTCTATGACTTTAACATCATTAGGGCATCTGTACTTTGTTGACCTTGTTAATTTAGTAAATTTTCCATAAATTACATCTTAACAATGGTAGATCATCTTAATTAAGTATTTCTTAATTAATGATGGATTATGCAAAATTATTATATTCATATCTTGATTCATTTGGGATCCTAACCCAAGTGATGGAGTCCTAGGCATTGGTTGTGCTTAATTCAACTAGAATTATTTGGTCCAGAGACCGTGCCTACGGCAGCGATTATTCACCCATTACTAAGAGGTCTACATCATATTTATTTTAAACTTGATGATTACCTATATTGTGTTGTTCCAAACGAGTGTGTTGAAAATATGAGAATGGTACACCTTTATGGTGACTACCATCATTCATTATTAAAGGTTACACATAGGTAGTAGAGTCTTAGGCATTGGCTGCGGTATATTCCTACAAATATATCAGCCAAGAGAATGTGCCTATAGCAGCATTTGTTTGCCTACTATTGAGATATCTACTTTATATTTTGGACATAGAGATTATCTACAATGTGTGTACCGATATTAATAATGATTGTTTGTAAGGTCTATGATTACCTCTAATTGTTGTGAGGTTTACATTTTTGTGATTACCTCCAGCTATCCAAAACAAAGTGACAAGATATGGAATCCTCTAAATTTTGCAGTTGGAGATTACATCATTACCATAGTGATTTTTAGTTTACCTTAGGTGTAAACTAATTAAATAAATGGTTTATCACATGTTGAGGATACTGACTTCAGAGGAGTTTGAAGAACTCGCTCTAGATGATATCACTATCCCACATGGACAATGGACATTACCATTTGTTTTTATCCCATTGACTAATATAACAATTTAA